TTGTTGTTTACAGGGTTTAGTGAAATGAAAATGGTGGCAGGCTTTTATACTTTCCTCTCCCCACCACAAGATAATCTCAAACCCAGTTGCTATTTCTGATAATTATTCACGATTTTTCCAGAAATACGCGCAATTTTAAAAATATTTTATATTAGAAACCAATTATGGACTCTATATCATAAATCTAATTGAACTTAATTAATTTTTGTTAATACATTAAAAAAATCATAAAAGTATATATTCGCGGGAAACGTCTCGTTTGAATTGATCAGGTGATTGTCAGCCTACTTTATAGCAGAGTATTGATTTATATTTCTAATCTAATTTTTCGTCTATGTCTATCGTTAATTATTATTCACTATCATAGATTATTCACTGCGATGACTTGCATTTTGTAAAGAATGAACAATTAAAAATCACATATAAAATTTATTACCACTATCTTCGTTATTTTCACCTAAATATACTAGCAATATGGAAATTATTTTTTTTGTTTTATTTCATTAGCATTGTTTTATTTCAATGCCTTTAAAAATATCCGGGTGTCATTGGCCCAATTGGTTGAACGAACATGTATTTAACATGCATACATTTTTAAATACATATTTACATTTCCTTAATAAAGAAAATAAAAATCGTGTGACCAACGATAGATTAAAGAAAAAACAAAGAAAATCATTTCATTGGTTACTTAAAATTATTAAATTTGTTTCAGTCATAAAATTTTGTGAAAGCAATTTCTTCCCGAACATTTATTTCGTTTTATTTTCAAACGTTTCTTGCTTTTCATTGTTAAATAAAAAACAATACATAATGTACAGGAGTACAGGTATTATATGGCAAGTAATGATAACACGATAAAATATAAACATTAGGTACTACAAATAATATGGAAGTGTCTCATAGTTATTGTTTAAACTTTTCATGCGTAGATACATATGTATAAACACATATTTACATATTTGTATTATACGTACCTACATATGTATTATCACACGATATGTACACTTTAACTTCCATAAAATTGTTCATTGTACGTTATTGTATTTCATCATCTTTTGCAATTTATGTTTTTATCAACAGATCACAAGTCGGTTGCAAAAAATACGCGCTAATTCAATATACTAAAAACATTAAAGAAATAGGTATGTAGATAATAAATCAGAAAAATATTTGAAATATCTGTATGTTTCTTTAAATGTTTTAATTATGAATGTACCTATATTAAGTACCTATTAAATAATTTTTTACCAATACGTGGGAAAGTGAAATATATTGTATTTTAATTTTCCTATCGTCTATTTATAATTTATACATGCATAATTTATAATATGCATTATACATATGTATACAAACTTCTAAATATAATTTACGTAATATTTTCTATTAAAAGATTATTACATCTAATTTAATTTAATGACATCAGTAATTGGTTATTGTCGTTATCGTATTACCAGGTAAATGGTAATTGAATAAAGGATAATTACATTAATTTCGTTTGTGTAAAACAAAAATGTTATTTTCAATTGCTAAATAAATATTATTATGATAAATATTCTTTCAATAAAGTTTAGGCAACTTGTATATAATATTGGCGAGTTTCAAAGTGCTATATTCAAAAATAGGATTCTTAATTAAATCGAAAACAGCCAATACATTTTAAAAGTGTATTTTTCAGATTTATCATTATTTGCTTATCATGTTGTTTACTATTCATGGTAACACGTGTTTTATTTGTTTGTTAATACCTACAAACATGCACTTTGCATTTGTTTTGACCGTTGGGAAATGTTAAAAGTTAATTCAGGTTTTTTCCATTTAATAGGTCGAATGACAATATTAATTTTATACGATCATTTTTTGAAACGTTAGTTAAAGATATGAAAAAGAATTATTGTATAATAACAATTAAAAACTGTATGTTAAATGCATCAAACAACCAAGCAATCATCTTACGATTAACATAAATTTTTTATTCAAATGGCTTATCCTTGTTAGTAGTACATCCATAATACTAATAATAATTTTTTTTTATATCAACTGAGATAATGGAGAAAAAGAAAAAGGATTCCTAATGGTGTAAAATGAGCCAGAGATTATTCATAAAAATAAATATTTATTTACAAAATTTTTGCTACATAAGGCACCGTTTTAAAGACAACTGTTTCGTATCACAATAAAGGCAATACATGGCAAGATGTTTCTCAGACGTATTTGTATAAACATATTATGTAGCAGTTACTAATATTCAAATACAACATAAAATAGTATTTAATTTCCTCTACAGAAAATACAGAACCGTTAATTAATCATTATATATACACAGTCAACACGTAAACTTCAAATAAATGTAAAAACATCAAATAGAAATTAATAATTAAAATCACTTTTATTAAACGGTATTCTACATACCATGTTGTAAAAAAATATACATGTAACGGGTTAGCACGATAATATACAGAACGATTACTAAACAATACGTTTTGATTTGATTGTTTCCACTTTTTCTGTCGTTGTTCCTTATTTCTTCTTCAATCATTAAATTATGTAGGAAACTCCCGTAAATAAATTTAGCTAAAATTACACAATTTCGAATTCGATATTTACGTTTAAGATTATTTTTTATTTATTCCAATCGACTTTATCGACTTCATCATCTTATCAATGGAGATAAAATATCAAAATGATATTCTTATTTTTTCCTAATAGAAATAATAATCTTAACTGCTTAATTATTATGAAGCTGCCATTTATCATACTTGCAGCTGGAACATTTGGGTTCAAATAAAAATTACATATCAATATAGAAACAGAGATCAGCAAACGTTAAGCCATAATGTGGTTAATTAAATAGGTAAATAATGGCAAATAATAGCAATAAGAATAAAAAATTACTGGAGACAAGAAACTCCGGGTTTAACCTGCCCTTTTTCAATTAAAAATATCTGTTAAACAACTCACACAACATTCACCAATTTTTCTTGTATTTTAAAACTTGTCAAGTCAATGTGGCTCTTATTTTTCCTACTGAAAACACCTTTTGTTTGCTCAAGAATAATTTCTGTAACCCATCATTTACTGTGACAGCCCAAATAATTTTAAAGCATTGAATGAAGTCGATAAAGCAATTTCTTCAGGCTTTTTGTTCATGAAGGCAGCAATCATTTCCACAATGGCTGGCAAAGAACAGGGTTCATTGCGTTGAAATGTACAGTATCGGTGTAAAAATGTCATGGACCTGAAAAAATATTTTAGTAGCATCTTACAGTAAAATTATTTCTTAATTTATGAGTAAATAGAAAGTAAAACATAAATTTTATGTATCTTTAGAAAAAGGTGCATTTAAATGTACTTGAAAAATCTGTAGAGCACTGTTTGAAAAGAAGGTACTTTCCAGCAAAAAAGTACATGTGGTCACTGTAATATCTAATTAAATTTTACAATACAATTATTTACNTCAGAAAAAAAGAAAAAAATCCAAGAAAAGAAAAAACTATTCTACACAGGGTAAAATATAATAATAGAATTTTACCTTTCTGATAGTCCATCTTTTACATGAACTGGAAGTTTAGAGGCACGTGTGTTGGGATACATAAATGGAGCATCAGTTTCCACCAATAGACGATCTAATGGTATTGTGTTTTCAACAAGGAGTTTACGAACACCTTTGTCAGACTTATCCTTACATAAATAACCTGTCAAAAATTTTGCATACAAAATTAATTGAAAATTGATCAAGTAAATCTTAAAAGAGGTACAGTTTATTACAGTTTACCTGTTAATCCTATGTAAAATCCTTTGTCCAAATAATTTAAGGCATGTTCAGAAGTACCTGTGAAACAATGTATAACAACAGGTGGTAAACGACTACTGTATTCTCCTAATATTTCTAAAAGATCCTCATGAGCATCTCTTTCATGAACAAAAAGGGGTTTTTGAATGTTACAAGCCAACTCAATCTAGAATTTAAAAAATCAATAATAAAAAAATAACATACATTAACTTGGTGCATACTTGTTTTCGGAAGACCCTCCTTTGCTCTTGTGGTTCTGAGAAATTTCTATTATAATCCAAACCACATTCTCCAACAGCTACACATTCTGGATTTTGAGCAATAGAGACCAACTCATTCCAGGACTCATCAGTGTAAGACTTTGCATCGTGAGGATGTATACCTATAAATATTAAATTTAAAGTATCTCATGTTGGTTAACTGGAGACAAATACCTGCAGTAGAATACAATGTACCAGGATATATTCTTGTTAATCTCAAGGCTTCTTTGCTAGCTTTTACAGATGTCCCTGTTACCATTATTTTCTGGACGCCTATAAAGTTTATACTTTAAATCACTCCTGAGAATGGTTTATTAATAAATTACCTGCGTCTTTTGCCCGCTGAATAACAGAATCCAAATCTCTGCTATATTTTTTATTGGTCAAATTTGCTCCAATATCTATAACAATTAAATTTTCATAGCACTGTTCCATAGCTTTTTCGTTTCTTAATATATCATCAGTCGATTTTGCTGCCATTTTTTCTTGCTGTTGGAAAATTCGAAGGGTCTTCCTAGAAAACTACTGAAATGCTGGTCTATGACTATGGTGATGAGTCGATTTACAAAAATATATTTTTGTTCACATATGTTTACTGTCAAAAAGTTTGTCATTTAATGATTGCTTAATCTTATGCAACCCATTCTCTTTGCAATCGTAGCGTGACATATATTTCTAGGAATTCTACTTATAAAAAGTTTACTGTGAATTATACTTTATCTTTTGTAGCCTTTTTTCTCTAAAATGTTTACATAGAATATAAGTATTTAGTTATTTTTTAGTAACAGCCAATACCTTTCTAATAAATTT